TTGGGAGGCAAAGGAAAGACCCTCGGCATCTTTAAGCCGTTTTTGGGCAAGACCAGAATGTTGCGGCCCCCGTTTATTAAATCTTGAAGTGATGCATTGCTCAGGACAACTTTTTTTAATACCAGTCAGAATTTTCCTATTGCCAAAATCCTGAAAACCTGCAAACCCATTGTAGTAATCCTGACAATGCCACACCATTATCATCAATCCATTCATAATAATGGAACCCAACATTTTAATGATTTTTTAATTTTGTTTTGTTTACACAGCAACTAACGATGAGAGTATGTCAAGTGATGAAGATCAGTGGAATGCCCCTTTGGCATCCTCAGCCATAGTAAAAGCTGAGGATGCTTTATCCTCTCTAAACAGTTTTACTACACAAGCGGTGAAACGATTTGGTTGTGAGATTGATTTAGAAGTAGACAGGGAAAATGACCTTCTAAAGCAAATGCTGCGGAAATATAAAAATCCCGGGTTTGATGTAACTCGGCCACTGTGTGTTGAATTTGTTGGTGAACCAGGAGTTGATGCAGGTGGTGTAACGAGAGAGTTTTTTCACTTGTTAATGGAAAGGTTGAAAAAGCAAGGGGTTTCAATAAATTTGTTTGAGGGTCAGGTGGGGCATCTAGTTCCCATTAACAACTACGATGTTTTGTCAGGCGGCTTGTTTGTGCAGGCTGGCAAGATGATACTGCACGCTATTCTCAACGACTGCCATGGTGTTCCTGGGCTCTCCCCAGCTGTTGTGTCATACCTGATAAGTGGAAGGAGGGATGCAGCAGTAGCTCATGTATGTGTTGAGGACATCCCAGATCCTGTTTTAGCAGAAAACTTAACAAAGGTTTGTTAAATCTGACTAGAAATTCCATTTGCTATTGCATAAAAAAAGACAAAATGTTAAGAAGGAAGATACATTTAATGCCCATGTCTTATGCGCTGGAAATGGTAATTCTGTGGTTCCAGGTTTGAATCCTCCTCCAGCCACTGGATGGATCTGTCTTTGGTACCACCACATTCAAATCCTACACGCTTTACATATACCCACTCATCTGCCTCCTTCCAATTGGGATTTTTAATCACATCAGTGGCATGCCTGGAAACTAGCTATCTTGAAGCTAAGTGTATGACCACGATATTATTAATTTTATTGCTGGCGAGCCTTAGCAAGCCTCGGCCAGCACACTATTTCAGAAGGTCAGCAGTGTTACTTAACATATAAGCCGTGAAAATTCGAGATCTTTTTTAGACAGAGTCTGGCATGTACAGTTTGGCTTTTCATTACATGACGTCACAATCAATGTTTTGACGATTTGTTGTCAAATTTCATCAATGAGCAATTGGCTAATTCATTACGTCACGTCACAATCGATGCGTATTTGACTTCGCACGTCTAGCCTTGCTATTTACAAGCAGTGAAAAGGTGAGTGCGGCAAGGTTACGGTAAATAAGACCATCTTCACAGATATTCGTGGAAGGTGAATTAAAAAACAGATCTGGCGTTAAAGAAAAGGGCTTTAAGGGAAAGAATGAGGTTACTTACTGGCTCATTAAAGCTGAATCTTGGACCATTGAGTCAACAAGAAAAAGTCGTTCGCTTTAGGTTACCAACTGGCCTGTTGAGGCTAAATGTTTGACCGTCATTTTGTTATCTTACATCTCTGTAATCAGACAATACACAGGCCAATTTTCAGCATCTGTGTCCTCTACCCCAATAACGGCTTTCCCTTCGCCAGCACTCACTTTCCTTTAATAAGGATATATTGCTTACTTATTTATTCTCTTTGGGCCCACGCGGACTTTTGAGGCCGGGATAAGGATATATTGAAATAAGGAAATATTTATTTGTTCGAAATAAGGACATATTGAACAACTTGTTATCCAAGAGTAAAATTATTAACCATCTTATGATTAAGAGGGAATAGAGACAGTTATTTTCTTAGCACTGACAATCTTGACTTTAACTTTATTAAGTAAGCCTGTTCTAGGTGTTTGGTTAGCAAACAGGTGCAGTGCAACAAATTAATGCAACATTGTGCTGCATGTCATTTCTTTGTGCCCCTTTACCAAATGCTCCATACAGGCTTTGCACATTGGTGACCCATCTCTTAATTCCATATCATTCTACAGTTCTTAATATGTTAACACTGCTTACCATTTGAAATAATTTGTTTATCTATCTATAATAGCTCCTTAGCTGTGGAGAGGAACAGTTGCCAGCATTTACAGATCCAAATAGCCCACATGATATTTCAGAGCTTCTAGTGTCAGCTGGCTTTCCTCATATTACTATCACAGAGGAGAGAAGGAACCTGGCATATGAATGCATTCTCCTTTCCGAGGTTGTGACAAAAAGAATACCAGCCTTAGATGACCTAAGAAGGGGATTGGGGGAAGTAAAAGTGTCTGGAGTGAGCCTTCTCAGTTTACTGGAAAGATACCCTGAACTCCAACAGAGAGTCTTTCCCAAGGACTTGGAGATCATTGATGAAAGGGAAATGGCATCACACATACAGTACGATGAAAGCAGTAATCCGTTGTGCCAACGTGCTCGCAAATTCTTTGAACAGTACATTGAGGAGCTTTTCACAGGTGATTATAGCTCAGTGCTTGAAATTTTATTTTCACAGCTGGAGATTGGCAAATGCCAACTATTCAAAAATTTTATTCAAATTAACCCTTTTAAGCTTCCCCCCCCGCAAATGTTCATTTTTCAAAATGTAAATATTAATATGATACACTGTTGAAAATTGTGTTGATGAGTAAATTCTATAAATCTCTTGAACAAAACCATTAGAAAACGTTATGGTTTTGAAAGAAGTGAGTTTATTCATAGTAAACGTAGGTACCGGTAGGTAGGTAGGTAGGTTGGTAGGTTAAGTCTGTGTTCTAGTTAAGAGGCCCATCAGGCCAGAGCTTATCCTGGTTTTAGTACCATGAAGTGACTAGGAATATTTCTATTCCCCCCTAGATGTTGTTTATTTCCATGTACAGCACGGAGGTAAACATAGCCTTATTTTGCAGCTCCAATTATAGTGTTTTAATGTCAGTTATGTTGCATACCAGAAATGTACCAGGCCAAAAAGGTTTCAAAAGTTCTAGGGATGTTCAATTAATTAAAAAAGAGGGGGGAGGTACAATTGTATTTACGTTAACTGGAAAAATATTGACTTAGTCCTAACAGTATGTGCCAAAATGGCATTCTAAGGGCTTAAAGGGTTAAAATCCTAGCATTAAGCTAACTTGTTTTAAGAAACCATAAATCCAGATCCTGTACCTCACTGATGAAGCATGGGGAACTTATTTAGTTTTCTTTTTCTGAATATGCCTTTGCCTTTGCATCTTCTCTATTTTCCTTTAATGTGTGCTGAAAAATGTCACTGTGTCTATTTCTCATTACAAATATTTCTAAAAAGTATATAGTAGTTCAACATTCCCGTTTACTGTTTCTGTCATTGTTTCACTGAATAGATGGTGCCAAAGGACAGGTAGGATTGCATGGCTTGCTTCAATTTTGAACGGGCTATCCAGCACTACCAGTTGATGAAACAACCATTATGCATGTAAAGTATCTGGCAAACAATGCTACTAAAGTGCTGGCTGAATCCACTACTTGCAATGGAACCCTGCAAATACCAGTTGTCCATGAGCAGTACAACACGTTCAAGGAGTACATCAACAAGAGTGTACAATTTGGCAAAATAGGATTTGGAAAAGTTTGAACACTAGGATCTTACAGCTGTGGCTTTTTCAAGGAAAAACATAAATGTAACATGTAGTGTTTTACATTTGGTAAGATAGTGTCAGTGCAGTGTCACAGTTGCCATAAGGCAGAGTTCAGTTTACATTTTTTATGGTTCGTTTGTCACAATTTATTGTGAGCCCATAAATGCTTAAAGAAGCCTCTGGTTTCACATATATGTTGAGTTACCATTTTTTTTTATATTAGCATGTTCTTCCTAAAGGCTTTGGACATTTCAAATGTTTAGTAAATCCATGTTTTGGTATAGTTTTAAAGTTGTAGTTTGTTATACATTTCAAACAGCACCCACATGCTGTATCTTGTACATGGAATTCCACAAACTCAAATGAATACAATGCAACAAGAAATAATAAAGTTGTGTTATAGGTTTTCTGTTTACTCGTCTATTTTAAAACTTTAGGGGGAATCTCGGCTAAAAAGGAAACTTGGCCTTGAGTTACCGGTATTTCGAGCAACCCAGCATAAACTTACCTCAACAGCCAAGGTTTCCTTCCCAAACAAAAAGGTGTGCATTATAGGTACATGTAATAGTTGTTGATTCATTACAAATACTGTACATCTCAGTACATGTATTAATTATGCACTTGTATCTTGCTTTTTTAAACCCAACAAAACAAAAAAATATCAACTTTTGATTAGTAGACAACTGATTCTTGGCTACCATTGGCAGAATAAAACTGTAAAACAGTAAAGAACAGTACATGTATGTAAACTGTAACTTTAACAAGTGATACATATAACTTTGATCTAAAAAATCAACCTAATCAACCACAATTAATGTAGTACCTGTTAATGAATGTAAACAAGGGAAGATCAGTGATGCTTTCCACTGCACATATCCATATAAAATGCACCAGCTCACAAATTTCTTTTACTATATATTGTCCGTATGGAATATCTGTCTTCTCATTGGCTAAGACACTAAAATTAATTCTGGTACGAATCAGTGCAACCCACAGATGATTCATAAATAAACTGTGTTCTGTGAGACAGTGAATTGTTTTCTCTGAAACAATAATATTACACTCGGTTTTTGTGATATCTGAAATAATCGAGGTCTTAGGTGTTATCAGCTGGAGCCAATTACATTTTCCTTGCCTTTTCTTATTCTGGTCATCACAAAAACCTCATCCAATAATTGTTTATAATTCTTTGTGAGAGGCCTATTCACTACATGTACAGCATACATGTTTCCATTTGTTATTTTGGTTTTGATTTTAACATGACATGATGTACCTTAATTCTGGTGTGCTTGCATAAGTGCCAAAATAAGTTGCCGAGTTTCCAAGTAGAGATCCACCCCATAGTTATCACTCACTGACAGAGGTTGAATATGAGAAATAGCTCCAAGTTCTGTGTCAGTTAATGGAATGTTTGTATCTGGTACATCAACACTACCCAGGTCAAACTCATTTGGTGCAGGTCCTGTTGGATCTTCACCATATAACTCATCTCGTTGGCTGTTGTCATCAAATATGTCCCTGACTGCAGTACTCCCAGAATTTTCTAGTGAAATAACACCATTTACCCAGATTTGGCAAGGAGTCCAATGACCTTCTGTGCGTACAGGATGATTATTCCATGCTTCAACTAGGAGATTTAACTGGTGGTTTATTCTTGGAAGAAATATGTAATGTAAACAGAACAGATCTATGACACTTGTTGATTCCAGGATACCATTTTCTTCCATTTGGTAAAACAGAGTGTAGAAGAAGTGACCAACTCCTATAAAGACATCTCTCCACAGTCGCTCAATCCTTTGATTGTGTACAGAGAGTCCAGCAATCATGCTTCCCCTGTTCAACCCTCTGTGCCTTAGCATAGCTCTTGCTACGTCTAGATTTTCACCCCCTTTGTCTGAACGTACTCTAGAGGGCCATCCATATCTCTGCACAGCTGCTAAGAAGAGGGAAAGCACAGTCGAGGCATAGTTATTTGTAGCACAACTTAAATACACTATAAGTCTGGAAAACCCATCGATACCTCCATGTATGACGAACCTCCAACGGATGAGACAATGCAGTCCATCAATGTGCCAGAGAGAATTAGGTCCTCGGACACTGTAAACACGCCTTGTGATAGTGTTAAACCACCTCATTGCACTCCCTGCTGGGTCAGTTCGAACCAAACTTTCCCTAACACGCTGACGCTGCACAAAAATATTTCTACTTCGCAAATGTCCCAGCATCATACTGATACCAGAATTTGGAAATCCTTGTCTTAAACCTCGAATTAATTCATCTAAATCTGAATCCGTGATGGCTGTATAATGATGTCGACTGGAAAATGACTCCAGGTTTCTAGTTCTTCGCCAAAGAGTAGTTCTAGAAACTAATAACATTCTTGATATCTGGGACCAATTAAATCTCATTCTATTTCTTAGAAACTCCAACTGATGTGTAGAAATTTCGTAGGCCGGACGACCCGCTCTTTGATTTATAGGACCTGACAAACCTGGCAAAGTCCTTATGGGGCGAACTGTCGTGCAAGAACTTGCTCTTATTGCCAGCATCTCCCATCTGTTTAATAAGTATTGAAGTTGCCTCAACAGTGATTCAAGCTCTGGTATTCTGACATCATTGCCTTGATCGTCTGGGTCCAACGACTCTACCAAACGACGAACTGAATCGACAGCTACCTGAAGGCGGACTACCAAGTTTTCAGCCATGTTTCGATCGGCGTGAGGATAAAACCTGGAGCAATCCCTTAATAGACGAGAAACCGTCTCCAGAAGATCCGTTGTGGGAGAACTGTAAGAACTAGTTGACAAGATACATATCACTACAAGAGCTAGAGAGGAAGCCATGTTTGCATTGCGAAAGGCACTTTTCATTGCCACGATACATGAAACCTATTCCGTTAGAGGCACTTTTCGTGCCCTCTTATACCAAGTCTGATTTCTGAACCCCGCGTATATGCACATTTTTGCATGCGTATACGTGGGCTTTGACAGGTACGCATATATACGGGTTTTTAGCAACGCGTATAGACGTGCATTTGATTTTGCACATATACGCGTATTAAATACGCGTATATACGCGATATAAATGGTTGTATATGGGATAAAAGCCCATACATAGCGATTATAAACGATTATACGCGGCAAAAAAGCCCACGTACACGATGTCATAATTTTGAAACGGATGGCCAACCATAAAAGCTTGTACTAAGCTGTCTGATAGTTTCCCAGGGGAAGGGTGGGTGGGTAGTTAACAAATTTTTATACGGGGACCCCTTACCCTTTTATATTCCATTTTTCACGAAAAAAGTACCCCTTTCGTATAACTTCTGTTAACAAATGGTACCTCCTTTACATACCTCGTTTAGAACATTGCATCCAATGCATTGTCATTTAAATAGGAATCAATTACAAAAATAGAACGTTTCCCCGACTTTATAAAGTCATAAAATTCATCTGTTCGGGCCCTTTGGGCCATTTCACAGACCCAAATGACAGATTTCCCTACCCTTTTAAATACTTCAACGAGTAAAATTCCTACCCTTTCATATACCTAAAGCCTGATAAAAGTACCCCTTTTGGGCAGAGCTTCCCCGTATAGGACCTTAAAGGGAGTACCACCTCCCAGGGGATAATTTATGTACCACCACCACCCCCCCCCCCCCCCCTCCAGGGGGATAATTTATATTCTGTTTCATCCGCTGAAGAAGCCGAGAAGCTAATCGACCATTTTGAGACTCGAAATACCGTAAAAATTTTCCTACTGCAAGGCAAGCAAAGGCTTTGGAGGCACAGGTGAGAAGTAGCTATATTATTTTAAACAATGTGGGCCGTTTACCCAATCTTACCTTAGTTACTAACCTGTTCCAATCAAAGTCTTGGTATTCCCACCCCTTTCATATGGAAGCCTCACCCCAGGGATAAAGCACTAGAAGTATGGAAGCCTTAGAACAATGGCACAGTGTTTTGAAACTCGGGAAAGGGGAGGAGGGTGGGGGCACATTGTACACCAAGCCAAGCGCATAGCCCTACTTCAATTTCCCAAAATGTCATTTGCTTTGTTCGTTGGCACAAGCAACCTGTGTGAGATTTGCTTTCCTATGAAAGTAGCCGAGGCTCACACTCATAGTAATGGGGGAAAATGCGTGGCCACCGGCTCTTAGTGACAGCCCTGCTTAATTAAATTGTAAAATTATCACAAAGCATAAAATAAATAAGCCTAAATAAAGAAATATTATTAAATAAATAACAATATTGATCCTTCTCCTCAAATGTGAAATGTAAGTGTGGCGATTTTTACACCGAGTCTACACTGTACATGTATTCAATAAGGAAAGTGATAATAAATTGTCACCTAACCTGGTTGGTGATCTGGGGCCATTCTCAAAGGATGTTATTGAGTAACATCCACTGAAAGGTCCTTTACCCCACGGAGCAAGAAGAGGCTTGAAACTTCAAAACATCCTTTAAACAGGGACAGTGACATCTTCTTTTTTGAATCAATCGAGGGATGATCGAAAAAGCAAGACAGGACCTGGAAACAAACATCAGATCATCAGTCAAATGAGAGTATACGATCGAAGCAGAACCATACATGATATACCACGGGGCGAGCGGACGTCATACGTTTACGAAATTCGACCGAAGATAAGAGGGCCTTTTGACGGATGTTAACGAGTGCTGACCGAGTTGTTTTGGTTTTGAAAACAAAAATGGGGGACATTTCACTCGTTTCAAGAGTAAGAACTAGGCTAAATAATAGCTGAAAACATGGCAAGAACAGCAAAAAGACAACTCGAAGGGCGACATCTGCTATTTGGAGAATATTTGCGGAGCTGAACAACCCTAAATGTGCACTATGAGTCTATCGAAGATGAACTTAACATTGATGGAGGTAAGCAAGTTTTAGCAATGTTTTTAAACAAGGAATTATTTTGAATGAATAATAAAACAACTATTTTGAATTCGGCTTTCGTATCATATGAAGACCTATTGGGTTTTACAGTACTTCTCAAAAGTAAGTTACCAGTCTCATCTTGTTCAAGACTTCAAGACTTTATTATAAATTTTCTAAAGAATATTTTTACAAGTGTCCTGGCACCGCAAATAGCTATAGCTAGTCTAGGTGGGTAGGGAATGATACGAAAAGAAAATAACTGCAGTAAAATTAAGGTAAAAAATAAGTAGAAGGCAAGGGAGATTCATCAGTTTTCAAATAATTATGGAACGATTAACTAATTGCAAAAATTATAATCTTACAAAGAAAAACATATGAAAAAGATGCATTTAAAACTCTTAGGAGGAAAGGAAAAACAAAACAATAGCTTGCTGTTTTTATAGGCAGGATTACCAAAAAATTGGTTCTGCTTTCTTCTGTTTCATAATAAGTATTGCCAGTCTCCAATATATCGAGCAATGATGCACGAATATTAAATTTGAGTTTGTGTTTTGAAAGTGTGCTCAACTTGGTCAGTATCTCGCACCAAGTGCTTGAGAAAGAGTTTTTTTTATTTCAAGATTCTATTTTCTATAAAAGTTTTGAGATGTAGGTGACCTATTGCTGTATGAATGAACACGAGAAAGTGGAAGGAACAATTCCTGAATGTTTACACAGCATATTATCATTGCTGTTATTAAGAGAGTGGGATAATATTAAACTAAGATGTTTTGAAATACTAGTTATACCATTTCTTGTCAATTAAAATATCACACAATACGAACCAGGTGTTGCAAGACTCCCCACAATCCATGCAGCCCAACTCTTGCACCAGGTTCACATGATGTCTTGTATTACTTGCCCTTTGAGTTTCTTGTGCTGGGTGCATGTGACATCTTCAGTCAGCTGTGTAGTTTGCCCTCTAGTCTGTCCTCTCCATTATATAGTTGCCTTGTACTAGGTGCATGTTATGTTACCCAGCTGCTTCATTTGTTCCCATCTAGTGTCCAACACTCTGTGCCCATTAGTGTAAACCTCTCTTTAATAGTCTACCATGCTTGCAGTTGCTTCCTGTTGGACAAGAAAGAGAATTCATTTGACATGAACATTTACATTTAAATGTACATTTTATTAGATGTAATATAATAAGTGCTTCTACCAAAAGATGGATTCTGAGTGACAGGCAAATTAAAGCAAAGAGTGAGAAATATTGGATAAATTCTCCATTCTGTTCATGCTACATTGTATTGCATTCAATACTGTTGTGTGATGTGCCAGTGTTTTGAAGAAAAAGATGAGGACAACCTCAACAACAAATAATTTTTGTGATTTTTCTGAGGAAGAAATGGATAAAAATAAGAAATGTTGCTTTCCCTAAAATAAAAAATGAGATGCACTTTTAACGGCAAAAAAGATCCAATTTTAGTATATTCTTTGTAACCTACAGACAAAGTTTTAAAGACTTCAAAACTATTTTAATGCACTGTATTATAAGTGACAGGTCCAGGCCACATCACTGTTCAGTGTGCCGGGTCTAAATAACAGGTCACATTCCCATTCCACAGGTCAAGAGTACAGATAACTTCTCCCTCGATAAATAATTATTACCAAACCACACAGATTCTCCTCGATCTAATAGAGCAATTTGTTAAGAGAATAGGGCTAGGAGATACTTTTAATGCTGTTCATTTATCTGTATCATGGTGACCTGTACGCTAACCTATGGAGAAGTGACCTGTATTTTAGACCCCCCACTGTTCAGTGTTGGATATGATTAAGTAGGGACTACTTATCAAAGAATATGCCCAGCACTGAACAATGATATGGGCCGGGATCTACCGTCTATAAACAGTGCATTAAATAGACCTTTTTACTGATATGGCAGCCATATTGAATGAATGAGATTTAAGGCATATTCTAGGATGCCCATGGGACATGAGCATGATCTGATATACTCCCTCTCTATTTATCCGTGCTTTAAGGGCGAATTTTTCTTTAAGTTTTCCTAGAAAAAGATTGTAATAGCCAAAAAAATCGTTGTGTCGTGTTTGGATGTAATAATGATCTCCTTTTTCTCGAGAAATATAAACTGAAGTTCTCT